CCAATTTCAGACTGTCTGAAAGCTCAGGCAGTGTGTCCCTGTGAGGGCAATATGTGCAGCTGTAAGTGTGAAGCCAAAGGCACAATAGAGAACCCAGAAGTCTAAAAAAGCCAGAAGCATGGATCACTTAAGGAACTTAAGGAAACCTGCAAGGAGGGAGCAAAGCCAGCCTAAGACGAAAGCCATGGGAACTACAACCACCAAAAGTGTCATGGGGCAGAGCCACAAAAGCCTTTCTGGAGCTCAAAATTTGCCACAGATTGCGTTGGATGTTCCACATGGAACTACAGGATTTAGTGTTTGCCCTGCTGGACTTTGGTCCCAATCCTTTGTATCTGTTTGTACCTTTTGAAATGGAAATTTATATATTGTGTCATTGAATGCTGGATTATTTATACATTGTGCCATTGAATGTTTAATTATCTTTTTGTTTGTACAGGGACTCACAGCTAAGAGTTTGCTTTAAATCTCATAGGAGACTTTGGACTTAGGCCTTACAGCAATGCTGAAACTGGCAGGATTTTGGCAACTCTTGGAGATGGACTAAACATCTTTTATATAAAGGATGTGCACGAGTCTTTGGGAGGCCAGGGGCGGAATGTTATGATTTGAGTCTGGCTGTCCTTCTAAAGCCTCATGTAGTCAATGGAGAGCAGGCTTCTAGAGTTTGTGAATGACTTACAGACTCTTGTCTCTATACTCCTCCCCTTTTACTTTTGCTGCTTGTGCTGTTTTCTGCCACCATGAACTATTGCCCTCTGTCATGTGCCACTCTGCCTTTGAGCCAGCTGATTATGAAATGAAACCTTCACAAGCTATAAGCTAAATCTTGGGTGTCAGGTATTTTGTTTCAACAATGAGAAAAAGAAACCAAGATACTGTGCTACTAAAGTGTTCCACTAATACCACCATGCCAAATTTCTATTACCCAAAGAAATGATCCTGAAGGCAGGAGATAAATAAAGGACAACCACCTCTCAGACCTTTACCTGACCTCTGAAAGAGTCATTCTGGCTCTTTATTACTATGACTCATTTGCCAAGTCCTTAGATATGTTCTAGACCAGTGGTGGGGAACTCTGGCACATGTGTTCCAGCATCCTGTTGGTATCATTGAAAGTGTTAAAAGGTTTATATATTAAAGAAGGAAAAATACAGGATATGGGTCCTCTTAAGTAATTCATTCTAGTGTGGGAAGGAGGAAAGTAACAATTATGATAGAAAAATAAAAACCCTTCTGTAGAGAGCCTCAACATCTTAACATTTTCCCAAACTCCAGTTAGTTGCCCCATGTACCACTCAAATTCTTAAACAGAAGTAAAGCCCAGACTGCTGCAAGGGGTGGGGGTGAAAACACAGCCAGAACCCCACCTTTTCCCATGAGTCAGCACCATTCACGGGCGGGAGAGACTATACACAACGGGGGACAAGACAGGACGACGACAAAATTCACCAAGAAGCAAGCCCTCCCTGTGAACCAGCGCCATGAGCAGGCTGCTGCCGCCAGGGGGACAGCCAGATCCCAGCCTATACCTGTGAGTCAGCGCCATGAGCAGATTGCAGGGGAAGAGAACAAGAATTCACCAAGAAGCAAGCCCTCCCTGCAAACCAGTGCCATGCATGGGCTGTTTCCACCACCAGGCGGACAGCCAGACCCTAGCCTTTCCCTGTGAGTCAGCACTATTTGTGGACTGTGGGAGATGAAGTCACCAAGAAGCAAGCCCTCCCTGTAAACCAGGGCCATGTGTGGGCAACCACCACTGGGATAAGAGCCAGACACCAGCCCCTTGTGGCCATGGGCTGGGAAACAAGAGCCAAGCCATCCCCCACCCTGTAAGCAACCAGCTAATATGGGGAAGCAAAGGCTATTATGATAGCTATTGAGGTGAAATGCAACTTGATGCTTGAGATGTTTTGCTGTTCCACTGACTTTGTAGGTTTAGGGCTGGTGGTCTGATCATCTAGTCAGAGAATAATGGTATGCAGTGTGGCATCTGTAGGGGATCTCCTTCTGAAGGTGATAGTCATTGTTAATTCCCTGTTATCTTGTTTTGAAGTCCTGTATTGTTTTTACTGTTTTATTGGATTGGGTTTTATTCTGTTTTCTTTTGTTATATCCGATGGCATGATTGGCTATTTCAAAGATAGCAAGATATATTACGGTAGCCACTTTGGATTTACTCTTGTCTTATTTTGAAGTCCTTTATTGCATTCATTGTTTTGTTTTTGTTGGTTCTATTCTGTTCTGTTTTGATTTTGACTATGTCTGGAGGTATCTGCAGCTGTTTTGAAGACAACAAGAGGCATTACGGTAACCATTATTGATTTCCTATTGTTCTGAAGTCCTGTATCACTTACACTGGTTTGTTTCAATTGGCTTTACTCTATTTTACTTTGCTTGGTTTTATTCTCTTTAAAATAAAATTTAGCCAGGCATGGTGCCTCACACCTGTAATCCCAACACTCAGGAGGCTGAGGCAGGAGGATCTTTGGGAGTTCGAGACCAGCCTAGACTACAAAGTAAGCTCAAAGCCAGCCTGAACTGCATAGCAAGACCCTGACTCAAAACAAATAAATAATTTTTTTAAAAATAGTGAAGCTCAGATGGATTAGATTTGGTTTTTTGTTGTTGATATTGTTTTGGGTTTGTCTATTTGTTTCTGACATATATAGTTCAGGCTGACCTCAACAATCTTCTTGCCTTAGACTTCCAAATGCTGGGATTATAGGCATTCTTAGCCGGGATAGATTAGATTTTACTATAAAGGACAAAACTGTAAACATATTTAAAATTCATTACACTCCAGTATAGTGGTGTTCACCTATTGTTTTGAAGTCCTGTATCATTTACACTGGTTTGTTTCAATTGGTTTTACTCTATTTTACTTTGCTTGGTTTTATTCTCTTTAAAATAAAATTTAGCCAGGCATGGTGCCTCACACCTGTAATCTCAGCACTCAGGAGGCTGAAGCAGGAGAATCACCATAAAGTCAAGGCCAGCCTAGGACAAATAGTGAATTCAAGGCCATTCTAGACTACATAGAAAGACCCTGTTACCATAAATAAATAAATAAATAAATAAATAAATAAATAAGATACAGAAAGTTCATTACTGGTCGAAATTTAAAATTTAAAGAATATATCATAAAAGTGAGCAAAAGATATAAACAATTCATAAGAATGGACAACTGGGCAACACACCAATGAAAATCTCTTTAATCTCAATCAAGATAATGAGAAAATCAAAAAGCACAGAGTACCTTCACAAAAAAGTTTGAATGGTCAACAAACCTATGAAAAGATATCCAAATATATTAATAATGTCAAATTAAAGTTACAACAAGATATCACTAAAAATAGATCAGACTGCAAAATAATTTTTAAAGTCCAATAATACCAAGTATTGGCAAGGTTCTGAAACGAGGAATTCACATACTGCTAGCATAGAGTTACTTTAGAAAAGCTGCCCTTGTGTTTTAAGGTTGAAGATAAAAAGATTTTTATGATGTTGCAATCCTGCCACTAGAAAGTGCCCCAGAGCAATATTACCCAAAAGGTAAATTGTGGAGTACACTTACATTGCTACCTTAACAATGCATCCTGCTGCACAAAAAGAGATCATACTCTGCTTCTTCAAACACTTACTTTTTGGAAGACTTCAAATGCTTGTAAATCTCATTTGTAAACCAAGGTTTTAGAATCTCTCACAATAAAGCAAGTCTAGTAACACAATGGGACAGCCAGGATAATATACATTCAAAGAAGAAACCAAAAATAGGTATTCTAAATGTTTTCTTCTGTTATTTGAAACTATTAGCTATCTCTTAACTGTTTTCCTCTATTTAATCTATTTCCAAAAAGGTTAGTGAAACAGGGATATTTTCCAAAGCCATCTTAAAATGCATTATAAAAATTAGTTTTGTTTTAGTATTTTAATGGACATTATAGAGGTACTTTGCTTTTGACTATTAATGGCTGAGGCTAGCAGAGCAGGTAATGCCACTTACTGAGAAATGCTAGAGTAAGTTATTCTGGAGTCATGTAAAACCTTGCTTTGCTTTTTTTTTTTTTTTTTTTTTTTTTTTTTGGTATGGTACAAGTATCAAACCCAGAACCTTGAACATTTTAAACAAGTCCTCTGCCACTGAGCTGCACCACCAGCCCTTGTTTACCAGATTCCCAAGCCTATGACCTTGTTGTTACCTCAGTGTTATGTGTTTTTGCCAAAACTGTTGAAAAAGACACTCTGCCATTTTCTTGGTAATGAAATTTCCTTTCTCTCTTGTTCCCTTCCTAGAAGGCAATGCCAGTAACTAATGAAGTCAGGAAAAAAGTAGGCATTTAGAGAGAAAAGAAAAGCAAAGGATGCAAAAAATGTACACACAATGCTCAGTACAGTGGCCAACAGCAGATTAAAGCCAAGCAGTCCGGATTTGAATCAAGATGCAGCCACTTCCTGACTTACAGAAAGTCAATTTCTATAGTTTCCTTCTTTGTAAAATTGCAGTAACTATATCACTGAGGATGAAACAGTATTTCTGAAGATTGTTAATATATGTAACATACAGAGAATACCTTCAAACAGTGCTACTGAAATGTTAGCCACCAAGAGGAATGGCAACACCAAATTAGCCTTAACTCCAATGAATTTATTGCCCTAAAAAAGCCCCTCATATTTGAGCATGTTTTCTTTTTGTTTTGTTTTTTTGGTACCAGGGATCAAACTCATGACCTTGCACTTACCAGACAATATTTGAGCATTCTTAATACATATCATTTGCATTCTAATACCATTTAGGACAGGTTCCTACTCAAGTACAGAATTAAAATATTCAGGTCAGAGTAAAATGTGCCATAGTTCTTACATAAAATTTGATCACTGAAAGTAAATTGTAAGTTGAATTATAAGAGCAGATATTCTTTCACATTTACAACAAAAAGCACCTATCAAATTTTCTGTTGTTAGATTAGCATTTTAACATGTACTGTTTAAAAACTTACTTTAAAACTAAATGCAAGTTAGCAGAGAGCCGAGGATCTGTAAACTGTGTTGTTCTGTTGTTATGGTCAACGAAATAAACTCTGCCTGTTGCTGTATTACGGATCTCCCATCCAGGAGGCAAAGGACCAAGCTCTTCACAATTGATGTTGCTAAGATCCCTGCAAAAACAAATATAAAATAAAAAATACCTCATTGCTGGGCCTGCTGAGCCAAGCAAGTGTAAATGACACAGAACAATTCCATGAAGTCTGAGAAAATGTATTGTTTCAGAAACTTGAGATGTTTCGCTGGAATCTTTAATTCCCAATGGTTTAACAAACTCAAATATTCAAAACCCAACCCATAAATGGCTCAGAAGAAATTATCACATAGCCCACATTTTTAGTAAGTAAATTCCTAGGTTTTAATGTAATACAGATTTTAAATTAATACAAAAGCAGTAACATTTGCCAACATAAACTATACTTCAATATCTGACAGAAAATATTGTGTTACAAACGTTAGTGATATAAGGAATTAAATGTTTTCTAAAATTACTCTTCAATTATTTCTTTCTTTACTGTATCATAAAAACCTGTGTAAACAAACGTCTATTTCATGGGTAATTTTAAGCCTTTCAACAAAGCAAATTGGAAATGTTACTGAAATTATGATCCTAGAAATAATTACAACATATTTTTTAAAGAATAACTTCTTCATTTTGAATTTTCAAACACATAGTTAGTAAATGAAGAATCTGTTTAAGGCATCTAGGAAGGGTAGGCTTGGTAGTGCACACTTGTAATTCAAGCACTATGGAGGTAAGGCAGGAAGATCCCAACTTCAAGCCCAGCCTGGACAGCTTATAAGATCTTCTCTCAAAAGGAAAACAAAAAGCAAAAACAAAAACCTAAGAAAGAAAGAATGCTCTATGATTTACTTGCTGAAATTTGAAACAAATTTTTTTAATGAACTGAAAACTTGTTATCATATTATAAATGAAGTACTATTATACACACAAGGACTTACAAGGGCTTAAGGAACGACCTAAGAAGCTTATAAACTGTTGAGCACACTGATATACTGGGAAGAGGGTATAAAGAAGGTATGGAAACTTGCCCTTACCCTTGCCCCATGCCCTGACCTAAATACTGCTTCCTTTTGTTCTTTAACCAGCAGTAGGACTGCAAATTTTTATTCTCAACACTGTTAGAACAAAATATACCAGAATGAAGATTTCAAAGTGTTCCAATTGCTGCCATCATCCACTAAGTTAAATCACTGCCTTCAGAGACCCCACGGAGGCCTCATACAATGATAAAATACATTCGGGTTGTTTCCAGTCCTAAATGAACACTTCATACTTCTGAGACCATTTGTAAACTGAAAAAAATGACACTATGAAATTGACCAAGCAAACCAAGCATCTAGACAGTAAAATATTACCTTTTGTGGTCCTCTTTTTATCCAAAAGAGAGGGAGAAAAGGAGAGAAAAGCTATATATCTAATTTTTCAAAATAACATTTTAAAAACTATACCAGACATTTTCCTTAACATAACCTCTTCTTACAAGTCACAATGAAGAGGGAGAAGATGAGGAGGAAGAGCAACAACAAAAAACAGCTTGAGCAGCAAGTGGGGAGAGGGTCAACAGCAAACTGGGAACCTTGAACTTTCTTTGGAAAGGAAACCCAGAATGTCCTCACTAAGCTAAGAACTTAATGGGATAGATAAAGTGATTCTAGAAAAACTTCCTAAATCCTCACTTTAGGTCCAAAGAACCCCAACTAATGAAGATCAAATAATAACTCACAACCTAACATCACCAAACATTTCAGAAAGGAAGACCATTGTGACAGTCAGGGTAACAATAAGCCATAGAATCAGATCCCCAACTACTGCTAGAAAAAAGAGAGAATACCAATGATATATAGTATTTAAAAAGATAAAAAGGTACAATTACAAAAAAAAAACTATCAATAAAAAAATTAAACAGGTAGATTTTCTTAAATGGAACTTTTATTTTATTTATTTCTTTCTTGAAACAGGGTCTCACTGTGTAGTTCAGGGTGATCATGAACTCATTATGTAGCCTAGGCTGGCCTCAAACTCGTAATGATCCTCTAGATTCAGCCTCTCAAGTGCTGGGATTACAGGTGTGTGCCAGTATGCCCAGTTTAAATGAAACTTTCATAAGTAAAAAATAAGGACTGAAATAAAACAATGAATAATTTCCCATGCGTGGTGCTGCACACTTGAAATTTTAACATTTGAGGGGCTAACACAGGAGGGTCAATGTGAGTTCCAGGCCAGCCAGACCTACATAGTGAGACTTTATCTTTCTTTTTTTTGAGACAGGGTCTCTACAGTTCAGGCTGGCCTTGAGCTCACTCTGTAGCCCAGGCAGGTCTCAAACTCACAACAATCCTCTGGCCTCAGCCTCCAGAGTACTGAGATTACAGGCATAAGCCACCACGCCTGGCTGAGACCTTGTTTTTTTAAAAAAATTATATTGCTAGAATGCAGAATTTTATATTGTTTTCAGATTTTATAAATCAGCATACATAAGAGAGCTCTAAAGCACTTAAAAGAGCAAAACACTGGAAATACTTTCATGTCCAAGAGGGAACTGATTAAAGAAAAATGGGCCAGGGATTTAGCTCAGAGGCATAAATGCCTGCCTGGCAAGCGCGAGGTGGTGAGTTCCACGATCCCCAGTACCAAAAAAGAAAAATTGAACATTATGAAGCCATAAAATGTTACACAAACCTACATTTCAAAACTGTAGTCAGTATGCAATAGAATGAATAACAAGGTGGCAGGATTTCTCAGAGAAATCTAAACCCGTTGGATGTCTTTAAAATTATTGTGCTGAGTGTGGTGGTGCAGGTCTGTAATGCCAGCACTTCTGAATCTGAGGTAGGAGGATCACCATGAGTTCAAGGCCAGCCTGAACTGCATAGTGAAACCCTGTTTAAAAAAATAAATAAAATTTAAAAAAAGAAAGAAAACAAAGCAAGTAAACTGAAATTATTGTAAAATGTTTAATTTATACTATTTTATAAATGTCTTTAGTCATATCTTATTAGAATCTAAATATATTATCCTTTGATAAAAGATCCTCCATACAAAAAGAATATTTGCTACATGATGCTCCAACATAAAGATAAATATACAAATTTTTAAGGTAATTTGGGGCTTAGAAAGACTAAGAAAAGAATACACAGCATTACTTCATAAAGTAATTCAAAATAGATGTCAATATTATGGTTTGTATCTAGATGTCCCCCCAAAGTCTCATGGTGTCATAGGTGGGGATTTTTGAAAGTGACTGGATCTAGGGTGTGTGCTGCTGAGATCCAGGATGAGAGGCTAAAACTGACTCACAGTGAGATACTAGGATTAAGGGTATAAGTGCTACATGCCTTAGCCTGGATAAAATAAAAAGGAAAGAAAAGGTTGTTGCTTTTTTTTGTCTTTTTGAGACAGGGTCTTACTATGCAGTTCAAACTGGCCTTGAACTAACTTTGTAGCTCAGGCTGGCTTTGAACTTGCAGCGATCCACCTGCCTCAGCCTCCTAAATACTGGGATTACAGCTGTGCACCACTATGCCCGGTTAGTTGTTGCTTATTGCTGGTCACTTGAAGCTCACCTGCTTGCTATCTACCCTGCTTTGCCATGGACTATTACTCCTCTTTTAACTTCAGGTGCCAAGTATTTTGTCTAAGCAATGAGAAAAGTGGTTTGTTTCTTTTTTGGTCTATGACTTGTACCCTGAGCAACATCTGAGTCATTCTTTTTGGTTTTTTTTCTTTTTATTTTTATCAGTACTAGGGATGGAACTCACGACCGCCTGCTTGCAAGGCAGGTGCTTATGCCACTGAGCTAAATCCCCAGCCCATCTGAGTCATTCTTTTAGGATTATGGCACCCAGTGTATTACTATTATTATTCTCTAATTATTTTGTTAGGAAGTTTTGTTTTGTATTTTTCACAGAAGTAAAAAGCACTTTTTAATATTTGTTAATATCTATATGTATTACATTAAAATGAATAAAACTACCAATAATAATTAAATGGAAAAACTGTAACAATATACTCTAAGTTTAGAAATTATATAGGTTTAAAAAATTACAACATTTTTCTGGGCATGGTCTAGGTTTCAGTCATATAACTAAATATATCAATAAGATCAAAATCAGAGAAAATAAAGTAGATGCTTTGTCTTCCTCTGCAAAATGGTCAACAAACTTGAAATCAGTACACCTGCTCCTTCTGTGGCAAGACCAAGATAAAAGAGATGGGCTGTGGGGATCTGGCACTGTGGTTCCTGCAAACCAGTGGTAGCTACGCAATTACTTTTGCCATCAGTCAGGTTTGCTAATAGAAGGCTGAAGAAATGAAGAAGTACAAACTCTACTATTTGAGACATTTGTAGCCTATAATAAGTGGGTTAATTTTTGTAACAAATTGCCTTAGTTTGTTGCTTAGACATTTTGTTTTCTGAGTGTTTTATTGTGGGTTTTTTGTTTTATTTTTTGGTTTTGAGAAAGGATCTCACCATGCAGTATAGGCTGGCCTTGAACTCATTTTGTAGCCTAGATTGGCCTCAAACTCATGGTGATCCCCAACCCTGCCTCATTCTCCAGAGTGCTGGATTATAGGCATGAGCCACCATACCCAACCTTAGACATTCTGCTTTGCATTGCATTAATATTAGCTTTTGAAAAGAGAGTTGGAAACTGCAGTTCTTCTAATTCAAATTGGAAAATGTTCCTGAGATGGCTTATCATAATCCAATCTTTTTTCCTTATATGAGTAGTTAAATGATATAGCCGAAGAACATAAACCTTGTAAGTTAGATGTGTGCTTCAGTATTTTATAAGCCTATTCTTACAAGCTCAACTAGTCTGAGGTATACTTGTAGTACCTGAATGGTAGTAAACATATGGCACATGTGGGTACAGCAGGCTGTTTGTAGAATTAAAAGCTCTAAAAGGTTTGCCATCACTGGTATATACTGTGCAATTTTTTAAAGTTGGTTAAGTAACATTTTTTACATTTCTAAAATTGTAGACCATATTAAAGCAGACAACAGTTATATAAAAAATAAATTTCAGGTAAAATGGACAATGGTATGAAGAATACTTAAAAATATATTCTTACCTAGGCACTCTTGGATCATGCCACGTGCTCACACCAGTCTGAGTATGTAAGAAATATACCTGACCTTGTTGTGTTGTTCTCTGTTCTGTAAAATAATGAAAACTAATATTAAAATTAAATTCAGAATGTCTACATTCAAGGAAAGTTATATACACTAGGATGATACACTAACTGAGAAAATCTCCAAATTACCAATCTGTTTTCATTATGAAAAATGACTATAAAAATCATTTGTTTTGTCCCCTGACATCAATTTCAAAAATAGTGAAGAGGATTACAGGTCAGCTATCTAAAAGCTAAACTAATGATGTGCCCAAAAAGTAAACATGTTGCAATGGAAAAACAGAAAAAATTTTCACAGTATCAATTATCACAAAAACAAAAGAAATGATCTTTTATTCTTCTTCAACACAGAGCCTGAAGGGACCAATGGAAGGCTCAGAAGAAGTAGCTGGCCAACTTTGGGGGGACTCAGAAGAGGCTTTCAGGAGCTTCAAAGGGTTTGGAAGCTGATAATGATTGTTTTCTCTCTTTTTGACAGATATTCCTTTAAAGCTACTTTTGAGCTCAGATTAACTACAAAAAAAGATGACATATAAGGAATATATCACGTAGTCATAAACCGGTATAGATGGGAAAATAACCAAACTGTAAAGAAGCTGGATAAATATTAAAGAGTGCACGTTGAAAAAAAAGAAAAAAAAAAGTATACACTTAGGGGGAAAAAGTCAAAAGTGAAGCGAGTGCCAAGTCCTTGGGAAGAGTAGGGAAGCCAGAGTGAAGAGAAAGAGTTCCTTCAATGTTTTTTTTTTTTCTTTTGGTCTTTGTCTTAAGAAACAGAATCAGTTTCCAAACAGACTCTAATAAAAATTTTAATATATAAGAAAATAAAACAACTGTTAATATTCATTAATAGACCCCATAACAAAAATCAATAAAATTAAACTTCAAACAAAAATTATAAACATAAAATGTCTAAAATCCATTATAGATGAGAGTTGCAAAAATTTCAGCCTTATCTATCTACTTCATTTCTGTGTTAATTGTACAAATTTTTTTAAAATTTCAATTGTACAAACACAATAAAAGTATAACCATTTCTACTCAGAAATAGTTTGCTTATAGTATCAAAGAGAAATAGCAGAAGACACTTTATTTTAAGGTCTGAAAATGGGCAATGAAAGGGCTGAATTTTACTGACTGTTGTCTATGCCACAGTATCAGGTACTTCTTAAGAAATTTCTATCACTTCTAATTGCAAACCAACCTACACAGATGGCACTTCTATTTCTCTCATTTTACGGAAGATAAGGATTGGGGATGTACCTCAAGTATTTCACTTGCCTAGCATGTGCACGGCCCTGGGTGCACCCTTCAAATAAACAAACGAACAAAAAATTTAAAAATGAAGCTAAATAATCAGCTCAGTATAATATAGCACAATCAGAATGAGACTCAAAGTTTGTATGACTCACTCTAATCACTGGGCAAACCATGTGCAAATTAAAGAGCTAAAATGTTTACATATAAAATTAGAATCATTTGTTTACATGATTAGATTTTTAAAATATTCTAGAGTAAAATATGATAAAATTTAAATCGTGTTTCCCAATGTTGGCCATTAGGTGTCACTATTAGCCCAAAACAGTTTCATCTGCAGTCAGTGTAAGAGGGCAAGGACTATAAACAACTTGGTCAACTTTAGCAGACAATCAAATGTATAATATATGAGTGCTCCCAAGTGGAGATTAATTTAGAAAGTTCTGTATTCAGATAGAGGATTTATACCATATGCCACATGGAACTCTACATTTCTAGAAAATTAAGACTACAATCATTTTATACAAATACAGAAGCTACTAAATTTACAATCTAGTCACTCAGACAATTCAAAATTACAGACAATACAAATAAAATGAATACCATCAATTGCTACACTGCAGATCTGACTTCAAGTTACCCTTATCTATATCACCTTACTTTTATGTAAAGCCTATTTGTACAGTAGACTCACTTCATTTCATATACTTCTTACATACCTTTGTAATAAGGTATTCATATTTTTTTTCTTTTCTCTCTCTCTCTCTTTTTTTTGTCTTTTTGAGATAAGAGTCTTACTATGCAATTCAGGCTGGCCCTGAGCTTACTTTGTAGCCCTCACTGGTCTTGAACTCACAACAATCTGCCTATCTTAGCTTCCCAAGTGCTGGGATTACAAGCACACACAAACCATGCTCATAGGAATCCTCCTGCCTTACCCTACACCAAGTGCTGTGATTACAAATTCATCATATTTCATGTTAAAAGAGAAAGAAATCTGAGGTTAACGACTAACCCAATGAGGAATTGTTGGTTACATAGTCTTCTACCACCTCAAAGACTTTTCAAAGTTGGGAAGTGTCTTAGTTTTTCATTGTTGGGACAAAATATTCTACATCCACAAGTTAAAAGGAGAAAAGGTTTATTTCAGCTCACAGTTTGTAGAGGTTTCAGTCGTCAGCTAGTTCCCAGGCAGAGTGGCAAGGGAGAGGGCCATCCCAGAGGAGAAACTGTTCATGGCACAGCAGGCAGGAGGTAGCAGCAAGCAGCAGCAAGCCTTCCTTTCCCTTTTATCATCTAGGCTACAAACCTTGGGGGTAGTGCTACCTATTCCCAAAGTAGGCCTTCTTATTATCTACACACAGAACTATGCTATATTAGTCAGTAGACTAATTTATGCTACGCACCCTGGATCCAGCCAGCTCCAAAAAGCCCCACCTATGAGCACACAAGGCTTTGGGGGAACATCTAACTACAAACTCTTAACACATGGTTTTTTAATATTTACTCTTATTTTCAGATAGAATCTTTTTTTTTTTTTTGGTACCAGGAATCAAACTCAGGACCTCATGCTTGCCAGGAAGGTGCTGTGCCACTGAGCTATATTCCTGGCCCAAGATAGAATCCTTAAACTCAGATTAAAAACTTTTTTCAAATTGATGTTCTGATTGTTTTTTAACAAGCTGAAATTAGTAAGCCATGCTCTATTTTAGCTAGTTATCATACCATAGCCCTCTGGTAGATCTGGAGGAGTATGTAAGTGTGTCCTGCTCATGTAATTTCTATGTCGCTGTGACCTGACTCTCCTTTCTGCCAGTCTGGGATCTGAAGACTGTCCACATGTTGCACCATTTGTTCCACTAATTGGAGTGTTCTCATCAACAAAGCAGCTAAGAGGTCTGCCAGGACTAGAATATTCAGATGCTGGTCTATTGAAAAGCAATAAGAAAAAAATGTTATCAATTTAGATATCAAAAGGAGTTCACTAGATAATACATACTACAGTAATAATCAGTTACAAGAAAATGGATTGACTCATACAAATATAATGATTTCAAGAACTCTATTAAAAGCAAGCCTAAAGTTTCTAGGCACCAAAGAAACTCAAGGTAAGCACCTCACTGATGTATTTAACTGATTTTAGATACACACAGAGATGTCTGTATTTTGTTGTGTTTTTGGTGGTACTGAGAATTGAATCCAAAGCTTCATGCTTGCTAGGTGAATATGCTACCCCTAAGCTCTATACAACTAAGCTCTTCTTAGTTTATTATGAAACAAGGTCTCACTAAAGTTGCCCTGGATGAACCTGAACTTTAAAATTCTTCTGCCTCAACCTCAAAAGTAGCTGAGAGACCAGTTGTGAGTCACTGAATCTGATGACTTTGATTATATTTTATATAAAATCTGAGTACATTTGTAATTTGAGTACTGGCTTACAAATCATTACTGAACCTTGGTATAGCCTACGTCTTGTACCTGATTTCCTATGATTTGGCTTCTGTCACACTGATTTCTTCTTGTTTCTTACACTTCCCAAAGTCAGCTATCTTTAGTTCCTAAGGACAGTACCTCTCCATTCCACAGAATACTCTTTTCTCTTATTCTCCCTAGTCCTAGCTCTCTTTTGTTATTCAAATGACAGTTTACATAAACAAGGCCTTCTAAAAGGCCTTTCCAATCCAGTCATTTGATAGTGCAAAGATTCCCCTATTCATAAAGGTTTAAATTTTTTTTACTTTGCCAATGATGGGGGCATATGTCTGGAAACCTAGCACTGTTGGAGACTGAGGCAGGCAGAACTTAAATTCAAACCTAGCCTGAACAATTTGGAACACAGCAAAACCCTGTGTCAAAATAAAAAATAAAGAAGACTGAGATTAACTACAGAGAACAGCTAGGGGTGAAGGTCTGGGGTTCAATTCTCAGCACCACAAATAAATAAATACCTAAATAGAAATAGTTTCTTGGACTTAACAGTAATGCAAAAGCCATCAGCATTCAAATTTATACTGTTTCCCAGACTAGCAAGTGATACATACACATTGATACTATCAAAATGCTGGGCAATGGCAGCAAGTTGCAACTTCCAGTAAGCCATGTGTTCACCACAGCACAGAATGCTAACATGTTGCTAAGCTATGTTTGGTTACAAGCATATTAAAAGAATTCTTGGCTTATAGCACTTTAAGTTGATAATGGTTTACTAGACATATTCCCAATCATTAAATCAAAGTGCATCTGTTCATTGACTCAGTTTCCCAGCACAGAATTTATTGCTGACATTTTTCCTGTTTCTTTATTTTTCTCCATCTTCTCCCTACCCTTGATTATGTACTCAAAGAATAGAACCTGCCTAGTTTATTCACTACTATAAATATTCATATCACATAACACAAATGTACAAATAGCTCAATTAAAATTTACTAAATAAATAACAGAGAGATCCTAGTTTGTCTAATGAAGAAAATTTTTGGTCTACTGTAGGTCTTCTGAAAGAAAAGGTAAAGCCTACGTCTTGATTTTGTTTTGTTTTGTTTTGTTTTGTTGTTTTTTTGGTCCCAGGGATCGAATTCACTACCCTGCACTTGCCACACAGGTGCTTAAGTCACTGAGCTAAATTCCCAGCCCAAGAATTCACTTTTAAACATCCATAACAATCAACATTTAATACATGTGGAAATTGAGACAGAAGAATTTGGGCCCCATTTAAATACTGACAAAGTGTACATTCACTTAGGTTCAGATCCAATAAATTGTTCAGTAAATCTTTTATAAAACCTTTGGCAGTTTGCACTAAACATCCAATAAGGTGATCTATCCGACAATCTTTGTTCATATAGTAACTTTAAAAAATAATAGTAATAGCACCTAACCAGACATGGTGGTGCACACCTGTAATCTCAGTGCTTGGGAAGCTGAGGCAGGAGGATCACTGTAAGTTTGAAGCCAGCCTGTGCTAAACAGTTGAGTTTAAGTCCACCCTGCATAGCACAACACTGTCTCAAAAAAATAAATAAAATTTTTAAAACATAACAAAAATAAAAATAGCATCTAGTAATCTATAATAATATAAACCAAGGGGAAAAACTTTGAAAAAGCTGAGAGATAAATGGGAACTTCAAACAGGTGACTAGCACAGACCATGGAAAATACTGTATATTCTTACCTTGTTGGGCGTTCCCATTGTGTAGTTCTTGTTATGTGATTTAGATACTGAATTCTTCCAGAGGCAGTTCTCCGTTCTTCCCAGCTTAAATAAAAATATTTAAAAGGTTTTAGTGGGTATTAACAGGAAGATGGGACATAAAATATTTTCAGTGCTATCACTAAGCCAGGAAGATATCTGCTACTCAAATCAAGAAAACTAAATAGAGTTTTTTCCAACTTATTTTAGAACTGCACATTTTATGTAAGTCTGGAGTTTCTGAACTATCCACACTAAGGTGCGACAAATATTTTCCATCAGTCAAGACTCCAAGAAGTTTCTGGTAATATAAATATCACTGAAATTATACTAATTTTTTTTATAATTTTATGAAAATGTCTTTCTAAAAAATATATTTACTCGAAATTAATTAGGTTTTAGAATCAGTATGCAGAAGACTAAGAACTGAAATACAGGTTGTCTAAAAAACATCCATGACTTTTTTTCACATCCATGACTTTTTGAAAATTACATTTCACTAGGAAAACTTTTAAAAACATTTAGCCTACCTATGCTAGTTAATCATAATTGTCTATTTGACTGCATCAAGATACTCCCAGAGAGGTGACTGAATCATCAGGGTATGAAATTTACCAATAGATTACCCACAGATGAGTTCTTAGTTGGCTGGGCTATTAGAAGGCAGAGCCCACTTGGAAAAGGCAAGGCCTTTGGGAAATAGATCTGATCCCAGGCTCCTTTCTCTCCAGCTCTTTCCAACTCACTCTGCTTCCCAGCCACCATGAATTGCACAGCTCTCCTTCATCATACTTTCCCACCATGATATATCTGCCTTGGAGACAACTGATGATGGACAGAAACCTCTGAAACTGGAAGCCACAATAAACTTCTCCTTTCTTAAGTTATGAGTGTGAGGCAATATGTTCCAACAGAGGGAAAGCCAACCAATAAACTACCCAAATTAATTTTTTAAAAATCAAGAATGCCACTTTCCCCTCAACTCTTTATTATAATTTATATACTGAAATAAGCAAATAACTGGACATATGGCAAAATTAATATTTCTACCAACATACTGGTAAAGAGTTTTGGGGACATTAAAACACAAAAAATAAAGAGATGTGAGCTCCCCTTGTGCCTGTTGTTACAATAAAGTAAAAGTAATGATGGACAAATATAGAATAATAGTTCTTTAACTCTGGGTTTTTTTTTTTTGTTTGTTTGTTTTTTTTGTCTTTTTCTTTTTTATCGGTACCGGGGATCGAACTCACGACTGCCTGCTTGCAAGGCAGGTGCTTATGCCGCTGAGCTAAATCCCCAGCCCCAGAATAACAGTTCTTATATTACTATACTCTCTCAATATTTCATCCTAACCCCCTTCAAAACTATCATAATCTACCTCACATTCACAAGAGTTGACAGACCTCAAAAATCTAAAGTCATCTATAAACACAGTTATTCATAACAATTTTTAAAAGCTGAAACAAAAGGAGCAAATATCATAGCTTGGATATAAAATTTGGTATCAAAAATAATTTGAGTTAAAAATCAAACAATTTAAATGGATTTACCACATGTAAACTATACCTTATTGAACTAAAAATATTTAGAAGGTTAAAAAAAAGGTATCAGAATTAGTATCAAAGATAAAGATTAATGATAAAGAGCTTGGGAATCATCAATTAGGCTTGTATTCAAGTTATACCATTTGCTACATACTCTTAGGAAGGTTACTTTACTAAGTCCCAGTTTTTAATTTATAAAGTGACAGTAACCATAATAATAACAACAAAAATGATAGTAATTATTAAACACCATGTGCAAGACACTGAAGTGCTTTTATGTAAATGATTTAACTAAATCCTCTCAACAATTTATGAGAGTATGGATTTTCACTAATCACTCTTTGTAATATAAACTTTGTTATAAAACTTCAAAAGTTAAGTAAATTAATGCCATAAAGCCAGTAAACAAAAAAGTAAGGGTTGGAACTCAGGTGGCCAAATTCCAGAGTCATGTGTTATATACTACCTTCTAAGATGCTATAAGAATTAAATAATATAAAGTACTTACAGTAGCATCTGACACATATGTACTCAATAAATGTTATTATAATTAGTATTACTCAAATTCTCTTTCCTACCCCTCTAAATAGAATGTTTCAAATTCCGTGTGTGTGTATGTGTGTGTGTGTGTGTGTGTGTATGTATGTGCGTGCCCTGTTTTGAGTAATTAACCAAGCCAAAAAGTTTTTCTTTTAAATAGACAGTATTCGGAGAAAAGTTGTATTTGGCAAGAAATTTCACGTGCTTCCTTGTCAAAACTTTTTTGTGGTCAAAACTCTTAAAAATTCAAATTTAATACATATAATTCATATTTATTTTGTAAATGTATAGTAATATATTTCTTCTAACTTTACAAGTAGAAAGAAAACCTACATTCTAGAACTGATCATACCAAATTTCTAATGTATATAATAAGTTTCAGTTTATTTCTTACTATATAAAGACTATTATCTATTTATTTCTTTAACCATTTTAATCATGTTAGCTTACCCGTCTGGTAAATCATTATCAAACAAACGACTGCAGTCCACAACTTGTCCTCCTGTGCCTATTCGGTCTCTGGACTGAAGACTTACTATCAAACAACAGAAATATTACTAAAATTCAGAGTTAAAAAGAACTACTATAATCTAAAGTATCTAATTTTAGAAGATATCTGACTTATTTTAATAGTTTAGAATAAATCTTTGGTTTCTAATAAAATCTATACGTTCTTTTCCCATAGATTTTTTTTTTTTTTCTTTAGGAGTGATTACCAGAACCTTAAGTTTTCTACCATCTGCCATATTCACAGAACAAAGTCTACTTTCTCTTTAACTCTCATAATGGGGCAATGCAAGGCTGCTATTGCATTCAAGAAGTGGCATGGGCCGGGTATTTAGCTCAGCAGCATAAGCGTCTGCCTGGCAAGCGCGAGGTCATGAGTTCGATTCCCCGTAACCCCCCACCCCAAAAGTGGCACATTAAGGGTATATTCATGCACTGATGAGTTTTTAAAATTTACATTGATTTCTTTTTTCTTTTAGTTTTTATTTTTATCAGTACCTGTTTGCAGTACATACTGACTACATTCCTCATCTATATAACACATACTAATTCTTTTTTCTTATCTTTTCCTTTCCCTTATCTCTTTACCATTTCTCATTTGCATAAGATCTATTTGCCTATTTCTATTATCTACCTTTTATTTTGCTTTTGGGTTTCTCACACAATAGAAATCATGTGTATTTAAACTTGTGTGTCTGATTTATTTCACTTAACATTATGGTCTTAAGGTTTACCCATTTTCCTACAAACAACTCAAAAACATATGGAATGCTTCACAAATTTGCATGTTAGCTTGCACAAGGACCATGCTAAGCTTTTCTGTATCATTCCAATTTCAGCATACGTGCAGTTGAAGTGAGCAGAATTTCAATTCTTGGTAAACTCAGTATCTCTAAAAAAAATACATTTGGATTCTGATAATAGGGTAATCCTTGGATTCCATGATTTATTTATTTATTTATTTTTTGGTGCTGGGGATGGAACTCACGACCTCATGCTTGCTAGGCAGGCACTTACACCACTAAGCTAAATCCCCAGCCTTGGATTCCATGATTTTTAAAAGTAGTATAAAATTACTATTATAAACTGGAGACAGGAGATACAAACTATAGAGTTGACTCTGCCAACTACATTAGTTAGCATTATAATATTGAATAAAACACTTAATGCTCTTAAGGCTGACAATCACAACTGAATAATGAGGAAGTCAGGTTAAATTATATCCCTTAAGTCCTTCCTTACGGCTCTAGGATTATTCCCCTCACACACACACACCTAGCACTAAGGACTGAATCCAAGGTCCGAGCACTGGGCTACATTCCCAGCATTATATATTTTTTTAAATTTTGAGATAGGGTCTCACTAAATTGCCAAGGCTAGACTCAAAATTGAAATTAAGAGTGCTAGGATTACAACTGCCACTATTACCCTAACTTCTTAAAGAATTACTAAATTAGCACATAAAAAAGTATGTTGGACTTTTTCACTCAAAGAATGGTCTCATAACTGCTCTGTAAAAATCTAAAAAAAAAATCACAAGTTCACAGATCTCTTATGTATTAAGTTTCATTTAGACAACACTAACACACCTTGGTGAATGTAAACAATATGTTTTAGGAACAACTACTTAAAGTTTTCATATAGACAAAAAAGAGAAATGTTTACTGAAATAGAATCACAGTGAAACACTATTTTCTTATTAGCTATGTATGAAATAGTATTAAAGTTCAAAGCTAAAGAATTTCATGGGTTTGCTGTATTATAAAACATCTAGGCAATTTTTATGTGTTCCTAAATGATCTAATTCTCGTATATAAAATGAACTTTAGAAACATTACTAGAGCCACTGCTTATAATATTTAAACATGAGAAACTAAATATCCAATAAGACTGATGACATTATTATATACTGCTATACAATATCAAAAATGCTATAAATATATATCCATGTACAAAAAAGACATAACGGCAGATTAAAATAGGCTACTAAAATTTTGCATGGTATTTTTTTTTTTTTTTTTATCGGTACCAGGGATCGAACCCAGGACCGCCTGCTTGCAAGGCAGGTGCTTATGCTGCTAAGCTAAATCCCCAGCCCCCATAGTATGTTTTTTTAAAAATACACAGCAAATATATACATGAAGATGATTACAATGATATGTTGTGAGTACTTTTTAGGTTTTCTGTCTACAATTAGACTATAAAAGCAAACGATATTTTTAAAAAACTTTACAAGAGCAAGAAGAATTCAATGGTTTTAAATATAAGAGAAGGGTTTGTATTCCTTGAATCAAACATCTCAATTTGGAAAAAATATTTTTAAAGGAAGGATTCTTTAAAAAAGATAAAATATAGCTTGTAAGTTTCAATGTTATAACAAGCTTGTAAGTTTCAATGTTATAACAAAATAAAAATTCAATAACTAAGCTATAATTCATCATTATGTGAAAAAAGCAAAATTAAAATTTTATGTTCACTGTAATTAAAATAGAAATATACGTGTATATAGAAATATTAAAAAGTGGTATTTTTTGCATAGTGAGAAATATGGGTTAAAAAAAAAAGTGGTATTTTTTGTTTTAATGTTTTCTTCCAGTTTCCAAAAAGATATTTTGTACATGAAGTTACAGTTATTTACAGAGGTTCAATTCTCCAAGAACTGAACTCATTTCATCTTGGAATGACAAAACACATGACAGGTTTTGAGTTTAGCCTCCTTCTCCCATATTAATGATCCTATTATAAGACCCATATTCTCACAAGTTCCATATTCATGTTAAATTAAATATACACACATATATTTAAAAATAATACATCTGTATATTATGTACTCTAGTAAATATACTTTTAATGTCCAATAAGATTTGTTATTTTATAAATAAAAATTTCTACCTAAGAGAACTATTTTGTTAATCCTAGACATTAATTGGCAAGCATTATATAACATACCAAATCAAACACAACAAAAACAACTACATGTAAAAAGCTTACATGCCATGATTTATTTTTACAATGTTTTATGCCCTCTTCTCAAAGAATGACAGAAATTATCAGTAATTCTATATTGCAGATGCTTTCCTGGCTCGATGAAAATAGGGCTTTGCTAGTGGCTATTCTGCCAGTTACTCAACTATGAACCCAATTCTTCGCCTTGTAAGAAATGCAGTTCTTCAAGGAACTAAAACTTGAAAGACTCAAAATGAAATCATTTTAGTCTAAATTCCACTCTATCAGTTGGGCATGGTGGCACACACCTGTAATCCAAGCACATGGGAGGCTGAGGCAGGAAGATCATTGTGAGTTTGAGGTCAGCCTGGGCTACAAAGTGAGTTCAAGACCACCTGAATAATATAATGAAACCCTGCCTCAAAAAGACCAAAAACTAACACACTAAAAAAATAAATTCTGCTCTACCACAAGGTAAGATTCCAAATAAATTTTTCTTCTTTAAGAAGCCCTGAGGCTGGGGCATAGCTCAGCAGCATAGCACCTGCCTGGCAAGCGTGAGGTCTTGAGTTCGATCTCCAGTAACAAAAAAAAAAGCCTCCAAAGTATCTTCCTTTGTGTCCTACCACACTATGCATCATAATGCATTATAATCAAATCTTAATCAGTTTTTAAGACAAATCTCAAGAAATTTTGTACTAAACATTTTGATCTGTCAATTTCAGATATTCTATTAGTCCCCTGAATGCCATACAAAGAAGCTAACAATTTCTCACTTTTACAGTAAGGTCTTACACTACCATCGCTTATTCTTTTTTTAACTGGCATAGAATTGTAAAACTATCAGGCACTAAACGTTACACAGAAAGTTCAACAGAATTATGTTTACTCAAAAACTAGTTTGAGGATTATCTTCAGGAAACTTTAATACGATTTACAAAATCTTAGTGCTGTATTATATTTAAATACTTTGAAAAGATTTCTTCCTGAAAGATCAACAGTCCTTTACTTGGAGCTGTCGTGTGTGTGTGTGTGTGTGTGTGTGTGTGTGTGTGTGTGTGTGTGTATGGTTTTTCAATTACATTAACCTGTATCCTAGATCCATTGTTTATAGCATCTTGACTCACATTTAATTTATGCCAATGTAGCTGTAGTTGTTATATTTTGATTTAAAGGGTACTTAAATTATAGATCAGTCTGAGTGAGGCCAAAATTTACTAATTTTAAATTTCACACTTACCTACTATCTGTCCTCTAACTGTATCATTGTCATTTGGCCCAAGTTTGCATAGATCCAACCGCTGATCTATTTCAAATCAACAATAAAACAAAAAATTAAAAAAGTAGCTGGTATCAGAAATTCTAACATCTATTAGTACAAGTAAATTCCTGTTATACATCAAACTGATAAAGAACTAATCATAAAATGAAAGTTTAAAATTCTCTTACTCTATATAAATTTGCACTTAATTGTCTTAACAAGTTCTGATAAATTCAAATTTTACTTTATTTTTTGGTACTGGGGATCAAATTCATATCCTCACACTTGCCAGGCAAGTGCTTATACCACTGAGCTAAATCCCTGGCCCCAAATTTTATATACCATATATACCACTGGTGTGTTATACTGCCAAAAGGCAGTTATTGTCTCTTTGAGGATTTCAGACCACTGTCGTCCCAATGATTGTTGGTCTGAAGCAATTTATACCTCAACCTTAGTTCCGTTATATGTAACCATAGAACCTACCTTGTTTTTGTTTTGTTTTGGTTTGGTTTTTTTGGTAGTTGGGATTGAACTCACGACCTTGCACTTGTCAGGCAGGCGTTTATGTGGCCGAGTTAAATCCCCGACCCTACACTTTGCATTTTTTTAAAGATTAAATCAGATAATACTGTAACATAAAACTCTCATCATAGTGCCTGACACGTAAGTGTTCAATAAATATTAGTTGCTGTCATTCTTACTACTTTTATCTAATCATTCCAACTCCCCCCCCAAACACACATAAAATAAATCTTAAGAAACAAACTAAATAATCATCCATTAGTTATTTAAGAAAAACTTTTTTGGTGGTGGTATTGGAAACTGAAACAAGACCTTGTGGATGCTAGGCAACTACTCACCCTCTGAACTACATCCCCAGCCCCTTTTATGTATTTAAGACAAACTGCCACTAAGTTGTATTGGCTGGCCTCAAACTTTCGATTCCCCAGTTTTAGCCTCCCAAGTAGCTGGGATTAGAACCACACACCACCACACCCAGCACAATTCAATTATCCTCTCAGATGCCTCACCTGTAAATATAACACTGGGTTGGCCCTCAAAGTTATAGTAAGGAATAATGTTACCCACAGTATGTTAATTCTGCTTAGCTAAATTCTTTTACAGGTGTATCACACCTGTCTTAATTATAAATCCATAAAACAAGGAGACCATCTTCGTCTGTAATGTCAGAAATTTGATCTATAAATTTTAAGTTTGCCTGCTAGATTAGGTAACACAACAGTATGGTTTATATGCAAACCTTTTCCAATCCCAACATCCCTCTCCTATTGGTCATCACCCTGTTAACCTACAAATACAAGAATTTTTCAGATGGCTTTAAGTTTGTCTGAATGAGAATTTCTAGTTTGGTTCTCTACCTTCTACATAACAGGTCAATACTTATATATCGGGGATGTGGTATTATACTACATTAAAAGGGACCATCTCGATACATCTAGCATTCAATGCTAAATTTATTATACTTAAAGTCTGATTATTAGCAAAGGCATCTGGACTACAATTCCATGACAATGACAATGTTTCTTGTAATAAAAATTCTATATAAACAACAAAAAATCTGTTGCCAAAGAAAAAAATTTTTCCATCTATGTATCTATGTACGATTCAGTAGAAAGACACCCAAAAGGTCTCTTTGCCACTTAGTTATACAAATTACACAAATGTTAAGTCAGTTTGCCAATTCATTGTGGAAATTTCTTTGATTGTTTTGATCCTGTTCTATCTTCTAAAGGAACAGGTCAGTGATAAATTCAGGTATATTTAGTAGCTGATAACTATCTTATAATCAACTTTAAAATTTTGTCACAGCAGTTTTCTACCATTATTATCTACTAACAATTCTCCTTTAACTGACACCTTCAATATTCCAATCACCTAAATAAAAATTCACCGCCATTTCACAGATCCATCACAACCAGAAAACGGTACTAAGAAATTTTAAAAGGCGTGTTTACTTGAACACCTTTCTTCTCAACCTTCTGTCAATCACTTCTTAATATTTATTAATTTATTAAAAGCTAAGTATAAACTTTGATCAGCTCTAGGTTCCACATACTTAAAATGTAATACCCTTTTCAAAAGTGCATAAAATTGCCAGGATGGTGGCGTATGCCTTTAATCCCAGCACTCAGGAGGCTACGACAGGAGGACAGCCATGAGTTTGAGGCCAGCTTAGGTTACATAGTGAGTTCAAAGTCAGCCTGCACTGCATAGTGAGACTATCTGAAAACAAAATCTATACAAAATACGGACAGACCAGGAATTTTACCAATATTTCAGAGATATATACGAAGTTTCTGGATCCCTACCATATAAATATAATAAAAATCATAAGAACAATTAAAATAACAACATAAAAAAAGAGAATTTTTTTTTTTTTTTAAATTTCAAAAGCTCTAGTATCTACTCACAACCAGTGTCTTTGAGGCGGTTGATGGCATTGGAAAGAAGACGAACACAACCAAGAAATCCAGCACCTTGTTTTTTGTGGATCTTCTTGTGATTCCATACACTGATTGTAACTGAATCAGACTTTCCAATATACCTACAAACCAAAATAACTGCATAAATAACTTAATAGTCTAAAGTTTTTCTTTTTATATATTTTAAAGTCATGAATATTTTTCAGAGTACAGCTAGAATATACAAAATATATCTTTAGTTCAATCAATCCACATGACTGAACTTAAATTTTTAGAAGTTTTAAAATACCTAAAAATGATTTTTAATATCACATGCTGAACAAAAGTTCTTGTTAGTTAAAAAAAAGCTCTTTCTGTAGCTAGTATTTAGTAGCGCTAAGGGAGTTTATAATGATTACTTCTTTTTAAGAAAAAAAATCCTAAAAGAACTTTTATTATGGTCATATTTTTAAGTACATTTCAATAACATGACCTCTACTTCAGAGAAGACTTAGTTCACTTGCAAGGGGCATTGTCAAGGCTGACAGACCAAAAATCTGACCTACCTGTTATATTTTTTAATGCTGTAGAACAAAAGCTGTTTGTAACGCTTTTCCCCTGCTTCTTTCCTGCATGCAGGCCTTGAGCGAGAAGGACTCTTGCAGATTTCACTTCACTGCCTGCAGACAAGCAGAGCAGGGGAAAGCGTTACTGTATTTGTCTGTGCACACGCCTGCCAATTGTTAACATGGCATCAACCCATGGATAAGCATAAGTAACATAATTGTATCAATGGACCCTAACTCTATTTAATGACTCTAAGAGGTCAAATTTTTGGTCCAGCAACCTTGATCCTAAAAGTGTCGTTCAACAAAAGAGAAATATCACAAAAATACACCTAATATATATAAAAGCCTAAGCCACTTAAGTGAAGATTAAAACTTTTAAATAAGGATCATGGAAGGGGCTCAAGAGTCCCTGACACCTGTACTTGAAGAATGGTTATCTCTAAGTTTTTATAATTATATAAATTGGAACATTCTTTTTGTTAAATTAAGCCAATTTGAATTGGGTTCTTATTGCTTACTAACAAAAAAGAACTGAATTAAAAATAGCATTCAGAATATATATACCAATTTTCAATTACACCTACCAGATGTACCTTGGTATGTGACTACCACATGCTATTAATTCCTGAACTAGGATCAAGTATTAAACAGGCAAATCACTTCAAACAAACATGAGAAAAAATAAATACAGACACTTCTTGTTTAACAACTGAGCTGCAGTTCTACAGCTAGGTCATTAAATGCATTGGTCACTAAATGAGGAATCGTATATAATATGTACATTACAATATTGAGAACAAAGAAATAGTCAAAGGAAACTCCCAACATGATGAGCTTTCATCTGCGTAACTCTTACATGTACTACTGTCATGTGGAACATGACAGAAAACTACAGGACTGTATAGTGCAATACCCAAAAATCACGGTAGTGTATAAACAAAGTGTACTGTCAAAACAAGACCTTGAGGCTCTATATACATGATGTACAAAACTGTACAGAAAAAAAAGAAGGGTCGTAAGTCCAAGTGGTAGGTTGTAATCTGAACAGCATACCATGGTTGTAAACCTGAACAGTTGTTAAACAAGTAGGATCTGTAAATCACATTAAATCAGTTTCCCAACTAACATGCCTAGTTCATAGATACACTGAAATATTGATTCTCAAGTCCTCATGGCAGCCCATCACTGGCTCAAACAACTCCATCTGTTTACTGCAGAGTACCATCAGATTTTTGATAATGTGAAAAGCTCTATCTTAATGTGGGAAGCTGTATCTTAAACTGCACTATAAACACTTGCTGATTACAGACCTTCTGAAAAATAATTTGTGAATTACTAGAAATTATTGTGTTGTATTACTTAAGTGTGAATGTTCAAACATTCCCTACAAACACTCTTGGGTCAGGAATTAATCAGAAATATCATTTCTTACACCTAGAAAAGTATCTCCTCTCATTTTAAGAAAACTTCATGTAACATAATACACATACCACCATAAAAGAAAAAGGTATAATCTTTTTAAGAGGGTCCTAGTTAGGCTTTATTAAAAATTTCAACTTCATCGACAAACATGATTTATAAACAAACTTCAGGATATTGCATCGTAAGGCTACCTCTACAGGAGAATACAGTATTATTACATAGGAAAAAAAATATATATATAGCCAGGTGAAGGGCCAAATGCCTATAATCCCAGCAGGACTGCTGTGAGAACAAGGTCAGACTATACAGTGAGTTCAAGGCCAGCCTAACTACATGGTGAAATCTTTCCTCAAAAAAAGAAAGGAAGGAAGGAAGACAGACAGAAAGACAGACAGAGACATAGACACACACACACAGACACACACTCAAAACTTTTAGCTAAAATATAATTATTAAATCTTGTAGCTTTCGTTAATTTAAAGTGAAGATTTTACAAAATGTGTATTTCCAGAGTATTTCCCTGATCTTTTCTCTACCATCTAGGAAATACGCAAGAGAAAAAGTCCAAATAATATCAACTATAAAATAAAGTACACAAACATGTACACAACAAGTACACAAAAATGTTCAACATCATTAGGCTTTAGAAAAATATAAATCAAAACCATGATAAGGTACCAATTCATAACTAGTAGGATGGCTATAATTTTGAAAAGAAAAGATTTAGCAAGGCACAGAGTACCCTAAAATAGTCCATCTGAAAAACAATCATGAAAGACCATAACTGCCATCAGCAACATTGTAAACCTATGGCAGCCATCAGCCACACAAAACCATTAAGTATTAAGTATTAGTCTACATGATGGTGAGCTCTAAGTATAAAATAACCCTGATTTCAAAGACTTAGTATACAATGAAAGAATAAGTATTTTATTTAGGTTACATGCTGAACTGACATTATTTTAGCGATACTAGTTTAGATTATGCTTAATTTCACCTGTTTCTTTTTTATGTTTTTAAAATATGGCAAGTGAAAAGTTTTAAATTAAAGATACACTCCAACTTGTGGCTCAGACTTTTTTTTTCCAGTACGGGGTGAGGTGGGGGGTGAATCCAGGGCCTCCATACCGAACTACATTCTAGCCTCTTCTATATTTTTTATTTTGAAATACCATTTCATTAAGTTACTAAGCTGCTGGGCTCAAACTTTAGATCTCCCTCCCTCCGTAGGCCTCTCAAAGTACAGCAATTACAGGCATGTGCCAACACTCTCAGTGTGTATTTCTACTGATGCTTATGTAGACGTAGAAGATAATAAAGTAACATATTAAAAATTTGGGGAGAAAGTGATGTTTCATCTTAAGGTCTTTATTTAAACTATCTGTTAAGCAAGAATACAAAGCATATATTTAGATAAGATCTCAAAAAGTGTTTTCCATCTTTTTACTTTTTCTCAAATGACAATGGAAGATAAACTTTATAGGAAAATGCAACAGCAACAGGAGAAGCAATAGTAGCTATCATTGATAGACAAAGAAAGTTCCTAACCTAATGATAAATTCCCAGGAAGACTACAAAGTAGGTTGTAAGAGAACCATCAAGCCAAACTGAAGCAAGAAAACAGTCTTCAGGAGGGGTGTTTCCATGAAGAAAAAGCCTATGGAATTCCTAACAAAACAACATACGGTTCCGTAAGAGCTGGGAATTAATGAGATAAATAGAAAACCAAACAAATGGCAGGTGTAACTTGAGAAACAACAGTTGTCAAGGAAAAAGTAGTTCCTGTGGACCATGTAATCAATATCTCTGACTACTTTCATAATCAGATAAACATGGAACAATGATTTAACTAAAAAGTTCATTTATATTAAAGGGCTGGGAGCAAGTAGGGGCAGGAGCAGGTAGGGGTACTAATTTTAAAAGCTGAATCATCTTCTCAAGTAGGAAACTTTAAAACATCTAAAACTAAAAACAAGAAATGACTGAGGTGATAAAAATAAGCAAGATATCTATAAACAGAAGAAACACCTGAATAAAGTCAAACTTATAAAGAAGTCATATACTACCAATTAAAATATAAAGAAAGAAGTCATCTACATAGTAGCAATTGATTGGTACTTTTATGCTAGTAACTAACCTAAAGTGAATTAACTTTTCTTTCACTGGAAAGGGAGGACTGCTCTATAATGTGAGTCTTCTAAAACCAGGGATCAACATGCCAAATACCTTTCCACTAGGTTTTATACCCCTCCTATAAAGGCAAAATTATACCACAGATAAAATTCAGATAATTTTCTGAGATTCTTTTTAGAGATTATATCAAATGATATTAATTCTGTGTTTGATCTCAAATTAATCACTTAAACCTACAAGTCATAATGCTGATTCCATTTTGGATCAAGTGTATTCTTCACAGTATCTGTAGAATGGCACTGTCCAGATCCATCAACCACCACCTTAGCAAATGGATCAGGAAGTCCTGCAAAAGAAAAGGAGATTTTCTTTTTTTAGTTAATGAATATTTTGACATATAACGTAGATCTGTTACATAAAGATTACCATCTACTAAAAGAATTATTCCACTTTTTACTTTTTAAAAAGCTAAACTTAAATGAAAAGTAGTCTGTTTTAAACCAGATTATCAGTTACTTCCACATGCACACCTGTAATCCTATCCCTTAGGAGGCTGAGGCAGGAAGATCACAGTGAGCCCAGGCCAGCCTGAACTACACAGCAAGACCCTTGCAAAAACAAAAACAAAAAACAACAATAACAAAACTTCAACTTACTTCCACATTAAATACCAGAAAAATATTGTTCCTGTTTTTCCTGCCTCAAAATATTCTCAGTTTAAAGGTAATATCACACTGCAGAAATTTCTAAGGATTGTTACCATACCTAACACCTCAGAAAGATAAACACAGCATTCATGACTCTCTCTTGCCAAATGGCTCCCTTGATTCTCATTTAAAGTGGTTTGTTTGCTTGGTTTTGTTTTTCTGGGACAGGTTCTCACTATGTAGCTGAGGCTGGCCTTAAGAGTCACTGTGTACTCCAGGCTAACCTCAAATTCTTGACAATTATCCTGCCTCAGACTCCCAAATACTGGAATTACAGGTGTGCACCATCACATTTGGCTTCCTAAATATGTTTTCACACAGACATATGGACTATGTATTATGCAGATGTACCAACTCCCAATGATGAATACAACCACTATGTACTACAAACATACACTAAAAATAAAAATTTAAAAATAGATAACAGCAACAAGCATAGACTACAGAGAAATCAAACCAGCCAACAAGTTTTTTGGAGTAACCTGCATGAGTGATGAGAGATTCAACCAAAAATGTAATATTCTGCTATAAAAGACTATTTGTTTTGGTCTAGGTCTGGATTGCCCCCCAAAAGCCTCATGTGTTTGGAAAATGACTGGATCATGGAGGCTCTATACTCATGAATTGATCAGTCCACTGATACGTTCACAGCTGACTTGCTGTTAGGAGGTGGAACCTAGCAGTCACTGGGGAGGGTGACCTGCAAGAGTTTATCTCCTATTTTGGTTCTTCCCTTTTCTCTCTCTCCTTCTTCGTCACCATGACATGAGAAGCTTTTCTTTACCAGAACTTCCCACTGTACCATTTCTGCTTTACAGCCAGCAAACTAGGGACTGTAACTATGAGCAAAAGTAAATTCTCCTCTAAATTGCAGATTTTAGGTATTTTATCCCAGTGGCAAGGGAAGTAACTAAGACACTGTCTAATTGTGGAGATTATACGCAGGGAGGGACAGACTATACAATGCTTGGCTATACTGAAACAGTTAAACACTTAAAACACTATGTAGAGTGCTACTCCACATGCTTTACATACATGTTTAATCCTCACAATAACCTTATAGGGTAGCATCAAAATAGGTGTCAGCCCTAATTTACTAATAAGAAAACTTATATACAAAAGGATTAATTAGCCTAAGATTATACACTATCAAGTGTTACAGCAAGATTCTAAAGTTTAGATTTTAAAATCAAGCATACACTGGCTACTTCTAGACTTCATGTTCTCAACAACTATGCTGTACATATCCCATTTACACACTGTGTACTTCAGCAGTAAATAGATGAGCTATGAAAACTACAAGAACATTTTGAACTGTAAGGGTTTAAGTATGATGGGACTCATTTGGACTTTACAAGACAAACAGGTAAAGAAGACTTTCCTAACAATAAGAAGACGACCACGGAAACAAGGATATTTGGAGGGCACTAAAGAAACTAACCAAACTGTTTGTGATAAGGTATAAAATTAAATATTGCTAGACAGATAGGACTGACCTAGTAAAAGAGGCTTAGAAGGGCTATGGATATAGCTTAGCAGTATAAGTGCCTCTCTCTGGCAAGCTCAGGGTCCTGAGTTTGATTCCTGATACCTAAAAAAAGCAGTTTAAAAAAAAAAAAAGGCTTCTGCAGAGGCCTGCTCAGGCCTTGCCGGCGACCATCTCTCAGTTTGGGGAGCGCCACCACCACTGCTGCCATCTGGGGAGGGAACTGCACTTTTTGGGCCTATCTAGGCTGCGCAGGTGACCATCTTTCAGCCTGGGGAGCTTTACCACAGAGGAGGTGGATGCCTACACAATATCCGATCCCCGCGAGAGTTTGATATCCTTGCTCTGGGTGGTTGCGGACCCGCTCCGCTTGCTGCCACACTAGATTGGGCTGAGCAGGATTTGGGCCTGCCTGGACCGCTCCTGGTGGCCTTCTTTCGGTCCAGGAAGCTTTGCTGCAGGAACCGGGAGCTGCGCAGCTTGAGGAGGCGTTAGGCCTGCCTGAACCTCCCCTGGTAACCTTCTTTTAATCTGGCAGCCTCGCTGCCCAAGGAGGGAGTTGCGCTACCAGAGGAGTCCCAGGAGTCCAGGACATAGGAGACAATTTCCAACACGCCCAGGGCAAGCGTGGGAACAACACTTAAAACACAGAAATGTAGGAAAATGACAAAACAAACAACAAAAATGCAATCTCAAACATCCAGCCCATCCCAAGAAAACCTAGCAGCCATGTACATAGAAGAAAATACATACCATATGCCTGAAATACCTGAAATAACAGTAACTGAAATAAAGAAGCAACTTTGAGAAGCTTTAAAGGAATTCAAACTAGAAATAATCTTCCAGGTAAAAGAAGAAATGATAAAAATAATTAGAGATGCTGAACACATCAAAAGGAGACACAGTTTAAAAATTAAAGGAACAAAACAAAAAGATAGAATCCCTGAATGAGCAATATAAGAAACAAACAGGATACATAAAGCAGATTCAAAGAGATATACAAGAAATCAAAAATTCCACTGAAAGTTGTCAAAACCGCCTCAACGAAACTGAACGTAGAATTTCAGATCTCAAAGACAAGATTGCAGCTAGTGAACAGGAAAGGAAAGATCTCTTAAAAATAACAAGGAATCAGGAAATAACAATCCAACAGCTGCAAGATGACTCAAAGAAAAACAACATAAGATCGATAGAGATAAATGAAAAAGAAGGGGACAACATAAATGATATCAAGAGGCTATTCACAGAAATAATAGCTGAAAATTTCCCAAACATGAGAATGGAAACTGACATTAGGATTACTGAAGCATATAGAACTCCAAATAGCCATAACCAAAACAAAACCACACCCAGACATATAATAATTGCCATCTCAGAAAGCCAATATAAAAATAGAATATTAAAAGCTGTTAGAGAGAAGAGACAGATCACCTATAAAGGAAAGCCTATCAGAATCACAGCAGACTTCTCAGCACAAACAATGAAGTCAAGAAGAGCATGGAATGAAGTATTTCAGATCCTAAAGGAAAATGATTTCCAACCTAGACTGATGTACCCTGAAAAACTGTCCTTCAAAATGGATGGAGAAATAAGATACTTCCATGACAAAGAACAGCTAAAGAACTTCACGATCACCAAGCCAACCCTGGAAAGAATACTGAAAGACAGTTTAGATACACACAGGAAAAAACCACTAAACAAGTCAGAATGGAAAGACAAAGATGCAACAGCAAAAAGATAACATGTCAACAATACACCAATATATAACAGTTACAACCATTAATGTAAATGGTTTCAATTCACCAATTAAAAGAAATAGATTGGCAGAATGGATCGAGAAACAACATCCAACCATATGCTGTCTACAAGAAACCCATCTAACCCAAAAGGAAACTCACAGACTGAAAGTCAAAGGATGAAAAGCAATACTACATGTAACAGGAACCCCCAAAAAAGCGGGGGTAGCTATTCTGTTTGCAGACAGTGTGAACTTCAAACCAAGAATGATCAGAAGAGATAAAGAAGGTCATTACATACTGGAGGAACACTTCAAGAGGAAGAGATAACAATCTTAAATATATATGCACCAAATTCCAGAGCACCCAGTTATACAAAACAAGTATTAATAGAAATGAAAAATCCAATAAACAATACCACAATTATAAAAGGAGACCTTAACACACCAAGGAGACCTTAACACACCATTGACACCAAGGGACAGATCAACCAGACAGAAAATCAGCAAGGAAATAACAGAACTGAATCACACTTGTGAACAAATGGACTTGATAGACATATACAGTGTTCCATCCAACAACAACAGAATACACATTCTTCTCAGCAGTACATGGGACATTCTCTAAAACAGACCACATACTAACCCACAGAACATATTTAAATAAATGCAAAAGAGCTGAAATTATCCCATGCATGTTATCAGATCATAGCACCATGAAACTAGAAATTAATGATAAAAATAACTAGAAAAACCCCACAAACACATGGAAATTGAATAATACACTCTTGAGCAATCAGTGGGTCACAGAGGAAATTAAAGAAGAAATTAAACAATACCTACAAGCAAATGAAAATACAAATATAACTTACCAGAATTTGTGGGATGCAATGAAAGCAGTCCTCAGAGGAAAATTCATTGCACTGAGTTCCCACATCAGGAAAACAGAACAAATATAAATAACCTGATGCTACACCTCAAACATCTAGAAAAAGAAGAGCAAGTCAAGTCCAAAGCCAAAAGAAGACAGGAAGTTATAAAAGTCAGAGCAGAAATTAATGCAATAGAGACTAAGAAAACAGTCCAAAGAATCAATGAATCAAAGAGTTGGTTCTTTGAAAGAATAAATAAAATTGATAAGCCCCTAGCCAACCTAATTTTAAAAAAAGGAAAGAAAAAGCTCAAATTCATGCAATAAGGAACAAAAAAGGCAAAATCACTACAGATTCTATGGAAATACAGAAGATCATCAATGCCTATTTCAAAAACCTCTACTCCCATAGGTTCAATAACACAGAAGAAATGGACAGATTCCTAGAAACATATGAAGTACCAAAGCTGGGTCAAGAAGATGTAATACTGCTGAATAACCCAATTTCTATTAATGAAATTGAAAATGTAATTAAGTCCTTACCTAC